GAGTTCTGTGGATTTAGAGGAATATGCATCAGTGGTTACCAGCTACATCAGCACATGCATTGACAATATTGTCCCCACCAAGCACTACACACATATCCAAATCAGAAACCATGGTTGAACTCTGAGGTATGTTCTATGCTACATGCACGCTCCACTGCATTTGCCTCTGGTGACGCTGTGGGGGATAAAAAGGCCAGATATGACCTGCGTAGATCCATCAGGGAAGCCAAGAGGCAATACAAACTGAAGCTGAAAGGACACTACAACAGCTCAGATTTCCGACGCATGTGGCAGGGCCTTCAACAAATTACTGATTTCCAGCAGAGGAGCAGCAGGGTCACAGTCAGCTCCAACACGCTACCAGATGAGCTGAATAAGTTCTACACCTCAACACCAACCAACACAGAGTGATTCTACCAGCAGAGGCAGCACGGAGCTCTTCACTCACTGTGGCTTCAACTGAGGTATGGAAGGTTCTGAGGAGGACTAACCCCCGAGAAGCAGCCGGCCCTGACAACATCCCTGGCCGTGCTTTTAGGGTCTGCTCTTCAGAGCTCGCTGAGGTGTTTACAGACATTTTCAGTTTGTCCCTCCCCCAGTCAGCTGTGCCCACCAGTCCACCACCATAGCGCCCCTCCCCAAGAAAAACAACATAATCTGTTTGAATTATTAGACTAATATCTGGAAACTCCAGTATTTTGTTCCTATTGGATGGGAAAATATACTGATATTTGTCTGTGTGGTACAATTTCTCACATTTGCTCAATCCACCACGAACGTTGAGGCATTTTCTTCATTTCTGTGACTAAACGTTTCACGTTAAAAAGTACTGATTTCATGGCATTGTGTCACTAGTGGTTATTAATTTAGTGTTTTTAAATATGGGACTTACTGAACTTATTTATATTTTGTCCTTTTCTCCTGCCAGCAGAAAAGCTCAGAGTACAGAGAGACCAAACAAACATTTAAAAAGTAATAAAATGTTTTCCTGAACTCACCAGCAGCTCGAGCAGGATCCATGTTTGCAGGCACTGACGTCTGATGTTTCAGGGTTTGATGAAAACCATCTGCTCCAGTTTCAGATAAATCACAGCTCACATGTTCTCCATTGTTCTCTTTCACAATCTGACCAAAACGTGTCCACAGTTCCAGAGGTTCAA